CACACTGGTTACACTTTACTTTGAGAAGATTTGATGGATTAGTGCAGTGTTATAAATGGGAGATATGTACTTTTCAACACTTTTAAAAGGTATAGCCTACCTCAAGCTGGTCCCCCACCGACTCAGAGCACAGAGAATCAGACTGATCCAAACTCACTGGTTCTGGTGGATGGGATACCTCCTGGGGGGCTCGGAAAGTCGATGGTTGATGATTTGGAGAGGTAAATTGAAGAGGTACATTTTTATAAACTCAGCATAACTACCATTTCTTGCTTTCTCAAATGTCAACCAAAGCTTAACATACTTTGTCTATTGGGCTTCACTGAAGTGTAGGGCGTCAGTGCTTTAAGTGGTCGACCGTCCAACTGCTCAAACTGTAGAAGATTGTTGGCTTCCACCGAGGTAACCCTAGGAAGACAAAGATAAATATATCAGTGTTAGGGAAACTAAAACTAGCTTCAGGTTATTTTGTGTGCAAATGCAAATAGTTATTATCTGAGATTTTTTTATATTCACTTTAACAAATGGTGACCCCAGCTAGGAGCAAAAGAGCAGCGAGGTTTCCTAGGTCTCGCCTTCCTTTCGTCCTTCTTCCAAACCAAGTAATTAGCCCGGATGTCGTAGCACTTGGTCCCCTTCTTGATTCTGCTCCGGTAGCTCTCCTTCTGTTTCTCCTGCACCCTGTCCATGTTCAGTCTCACCTTGATTGATAACAGGAATAATGCAATTATATTTCATATTACAAATACATTTCTTACATATCTCTTGGAGGGCCAGAAAATAAATTAACAATGGACAATCATTTTTACCTTGTCAAAAACCTCCACATCCTTCTCAGTCCGTGCCTGAAAGTGATCCTCGAAGACGTTCTGATCTTGTTGGACAACTTCTACCACATCAGGTGGGGTTTCAGTGATCTGAAAGTACGTTATACAAAAATAGCAATAGACAAACAACCACTAAGTCAATCACAAATTTGAAAGACTACAGTATATGCAATAATTGTATATACAATTGCATTGTTTACCTCAGTCAACAGCTGCGGCTCCCGTCCATACTCGGTGGAGGCCTGGATGCTGCTGTTGTGTGCAAAGAGAATTACCTTCAGGTTGTTCTGCCACCCTTCCTGGTACCAATCAAGGGACTTGCCCATGGCAGTCTTGAGGGTCTGGTTGGTCCATTCATCAAACCTGGAGGAGGGAGTAGGAAAGCGATATCTATTGACAATGTAAGAGATTGAAATATGTCTGATAATGTACCATGGAAAAACAAAAACAAATTGTAAAAAATAAATAAAACAAACCATTGGTGACAGAATATAACTTATAACATCCGTACCTTGTTCCAGCGTTCATTACCTCGGTCACTCAAGATGACCTCAGGAGAACCGTGGGTGTTGAAGATGTCCACCATCGCATTGGAGGTGGCCTCGCCAGTCTCGTCCTTGATGGGTATCATCCAAAATGGAAAATCTATTTTTGGTTACAAGCACCCTTTTTAATGGGTTACAGAAGGGAATTTAGAGTTAAGCACGTACTCTTCCTTTACTGACCTTTACTGGTCCACCCCTAACATTTAAGGTGTTAGAGAGAAGATTACTTTATTCTTACCCGTATCTGTGTCATACAGTATGCACATTTTCATATTTGTAAGGATACTGACACACACACACACATTCTATAATATTAAACTCTGCTGTGGTCAAATAAAGCAACCATTACAAAACAACTTATCAGGGCAAAATTTGAATTGGGACACTTACCGATCATGTGCCATGGTGAAACAACTTTGAGAGGCTTCAACTCTAGTGCCACAGTCTTCACCCTCTCAAACTTCTGGCAGGCTAGACAGGGTACTGACCTTTAAGCAAAAAGTGACAAATTGAAACATTGTGTGCTCTCTGATATGACATTCATTGAAATCATAATCATTTCAGAGATAATAGAATGTGATTGATAAACAAAACGTTATTTCACTTGCCCAGCTGTCCACCTCCTTGACAATTCCTCGTCAGAAGAAGCGTAGGTTGATTTTGGCAATCATGCGCTTCACTCCGAAATGGCCAGCATGCATCTCGGTCAGCACGGCCTCCTTCTCCTCCTTAGTAAAAATCACCCTCCTGTGTGGCTGGCCATCCTTCTCCCGTAGGTAGATATGATTGCCTAACAAGTTGGAAGAGAAGAGTTGTTGAAATACTCATGTCTAAGTACATTTGCAATACTGTCTTTCTCTCTGTCTTCCACTCTCTTCCCACCTCTCTCTCCCTCACTCACTTTTATCCTTTCTTTCTCACTTTCTTCCTCTCTTCCCCCCTAGCTGACTAGGCAGGCTGAGGTAAATAAGTACAGTAGCTAGCAACGTCAATCTAAAAACAGCTCAAATAATTTCTTCCCATTTAACAATATTTACTTATATAAAGACAAATATATGGTAAAGAAAGAGTGTTCTCTTTCCAGTCTTTTCTGTCCTCTGAAGCAGCAGGTAGTCAGCAGGTTGTCACCGTCAAAAACACCGTCCTTGGAGAGTTAAAATAAAGCCAAGCAACAAGCATAGCAACGGACGCTTTGGTTCATTACGTAATCCGGTCAGAATTTTGCAAGTTCTAGCAACAGCCCTAGCAACAGAAGCTAGAACTAATCGAATCCCATTGTGACGCAGAGGGGGACACCATTTGGCTGGGGGACACTATTTGGCATGACAGGCCCTCTTAAATGGGAATGGAAACACTAGGATTTAGAACGCCAGCTAACTCCCACGGGGGGCCAGTATGAAAAATAAAAAGATAATGTATGCACTCACTAACTGTAAGTCGCTCTGGATAAGAGCATCTGCTAAAATGACTAAAATGTAAAATGTAACTGTAAGTCGCCATATTGGCATTGTTGCGTCACTGGCAGGAGAGAACATTTTGGAACTCCCAAAAATGGCTGAATTTACCAAGAGTAGCTCCGAGTCTGAGAGTGAGTTTATAACAGAGGTTGAAATAACGTTAGTTAGGGAGCCAAAAAACCTACTGAAGTCGTTCATGTTTGAGCCGATCGTTGCCCCAGATCATAGAGTTCGTTCTCGTTGCAGTAAAAACACAGATATGCCGCTTGAAACACCTCAGCTAGAGGGTCGGCCTTGTTGTGACACAATCTGGTGTGAGTCCGGATGCTGCCAGATAATGGCTAGAGAGTATGAGTGTGTGTGTTGTAGAGAGATGGTGGTGGTGATACAGCACAAAATCCCAGCGGATGGCGGCTGTATTACATCCAGTCAGAGGTTCCTGTCAGTCTGTCTGGATGGCGATGTATTTGGACGTGTCACTAATCCTTATGAAGGACTTCCTGGCAGAAGAGGTTACTCGACCAGTCAGCAGCCAGTATACCAGTTATATAATTGCTTAAATTTCGCTTGACTATAAATTGTTTAAAGCTAACATCAGTAATGGTGCTCAATATATATAATAAGTAACCTATAACAATGTTTATCACAAGCGCTGTTTGGCACGATGGTAACGCATTCACCTTTTGATTAGACGACCGGAGTTCGAATCGCAGACAGGATCATGATTCATGAAATCTCATTCCAACCAATAATGGGACGTGCTCATTGTGATTTAGTTTCGGTATCAGACTAACTTTTATTATGATTTTGTTTGCAGAGCATACAGGCTGGCAGCTTATCGGCAGTTCACCTTATGGGCACAAAGGAGAATTGGACGAGGTGAACGGCGTGTCATCCATGCATGTGTTGTTTCTTCCATAAGGCACGCATACCCAGAAGCAAGTAGCATTTACATAGGATTTGAGTTTGAATAAAACCAGTTCATTTAGTAAATCTAGCATGTTGTAATTTCTTTCAAGACATAGGCCTAATACCTGCGCCTTATGTAAAAAATAGTATTAGTTAGCTTGTCCACTATAACAACAGGTTCACCATGTCCAATTCATAGGTCGAGACAGCAGGTCCGGGAGAGAGGCAGAGAGAGAGAGTTGAAACAGCAGGTTTGGGACAAGGTAGCACGTTCGTTGAAATGTGTAAAAAAATCAGTGGGAAAAAAATTCCACTCCGATTCCTGTCATGGATGGGATCTTTGAATTCGCTGTTGAATGGCCTGCTCCTTCTCCATTTTCGCAACACCAGCCTGCTCCCCCAAAGTGACCGCAACTCTCTCTCTTTGGGCACTCAGGAGAGTCCGCTGGGATGGTCCTAGAGCCAGATATAAGTTACACAAATTATTTTAGGTAATTTCTCTCTATATGCCAACATCTGACATAATATAATACACTTAACATTGGCATAGCAGTCAACGATGCCATGTAGGAGCTCAGACCGGAAACACCATGTCTTCTCCTCCTTGATGGGTTTCACCACAAACGCCCTGGCAGCCTTGGAGAAACGGAGCACTCCCTCCTTTGTTGTAGCCTGCTGTCTGTCCACCGAATAATTGTGGTCCAAGGCAGCCACTTGGAGTCTTGCGACCATCCCCAAGAGAAAATATCTAATCAATGTAACTAGAGATTAATAAGTAGGCTACTACAATTATACTGTTACTGATTTTATTAAATCAATTGGTTGTAGTTATTCACAAAGGAATGCACATAAAACAAAAACAAGGTTTTGAGGGGGGGTGGGGGTGCGCACAGCAGTTCAGTGTGTCTCCAGTGACCCACTGGTGTTAATTTGTGATGTGGTGAACTGCGATGATCCACTTTTCTTTTAGCCCCTCACCCATGGCAGTTTAGTTCTGATTTTACTATAAAATATATGACAGTACCTCTGGCTTTCCGATGGCCACCAGCTGTTTTCTCACACCTTTGGCAATGTGCCACAGGCCAGATATCAGCATGTGAGACCCTCAAGTGCACCCTCACACTTGGATGCCTGTCAGTGGCCAGGTTTTCAATACTGCATCCATGGGCCTGTTAGTAATAATGTCCTCTTCATACATCCACCAAATACACACTTACAACCCTTAGGCTAGCTACAAAGTATAGGTTAGGCTATAGCTTACCTCAAAGTGTTGCAGGCATCTCTCTAATCCCTCCGTCTCCAACCAGTAGCTGTTCTTCAGTCACATGCACAGTCTCCTGGGCAAGGACCAGGTGGGAAGCAGAGTCCAGGATGGTGTAAGTGCCAAAGGAGGCACAATGGCCTGGCGAATCACACTGTGCGTCTCCAGATACGATTAGTGGACTGTCACCAATTGTAGCCAGAATGTAAAAGAATGGCTCTTTTCAGGGATGAACTGATGACACCTGCTCGACATCCTGGCTCATGGCAGACATTGAACAACTCCTTCAGCTTGCTCTCAAAGACTATGTATTTTGGATCTTGCACACACTCTTCGATAGTATATCTTGGCTCGCACTGTGATGATTGTGATTCTGAGCTCTCAGATTCATACAGCGAGTTCTGGTCTCCACTGATCTCACTCTCACTCTCCGTCAGCTCCATCTGTGGCTTATAGGGGCAGGACTCGGTTGTATACTGATGGTTGTGAGCGCAATCTAGCTGGGCCTCGAGCTCTTTAATGATGGTGGACCTCTTCTCCACCGCAGCATAGGAACACTCTGGCACCCAGGGGTCAGTTTGGCATGCTGTACTAACCATTATTTCCTGTTGGTAGAAAACAATGAAGGCATCTATGATATAGGTATATTCAAGAATCACTGCATATACTGTATATTGTCCATTTTATATCCAAAATGCCCTCTGGGATGACAAGATTGTGTCTTGAAATAAACAATAGCCTTAGAAATAACATGGATTTGCTTGTACAGTGAGGGAAAAAAGTATTTGATCCCCTGCTGATTTTGTCCGTTTGCCCACTGACAAAGAAATGATCAGTCTATAATTTTAATGGTAGGTTTATTTGAACAGTGAGGGATAGAATAAATAAATAAAAATCCAGAAAAACGTATGTCAAAAATGTTATAAATTGATTTGCATTTTAATGAGGGAAATAAGTATTTGACCCCCTCTCAAACAGAATGATTTCTGGCTCCCAGGTGTCTTTTATACAGGTAACGAGCTGAGATTAGGAGCACACTCTTAAAGGGAGTGCTCCTAATCTCATCTTGTTACCTGTATAAAAGACACCTGTCCACAGAAGCAATCAATCAATCAGATTCCAAACTCTCCACCATGGTCAAGACCAAAGAGCTCTCCAAGGATGTCAGGGACAGGATTGTAGACCTACACAAGGCTGGAATGGGCTACAAGACCATCGCCAAGCAGCTTGGTGAGAAGGTGACAACAGTTGGTGCGATTATTCGCAAATGGAAGAAACACAAAATAACTGTCAATCTCCCTCGGCCTGGGGCTCCATGCAAGATCTCACCTCGTGGAGTTGCAATGATCATGAGAATGGTGAGGAATCAGCCCAAAACTACACGGGAGGATCTTGTCAATGATCTCAAGGCAGCTGGGACCATAGTCACCAAGAAAACAATTGGTAACACACTACGCCGTGAAGGACTGAAATCCTGCAGCGCTCGCAAGGTCCTCCTGCTCAAGAAAGCACATATACATGCCCGTCTGAAGTTTGCCAATGAACATCTGAATGATTCAGAGGAAAACTGGGTGAAAGTGTTGTGGTCAGATGAGACCAAAATGGAGCTCTTTGGCATCAACTCAACTCACCGTGTTTGGAGGAGAAGTAATGCTGCCTATGACCCCAAGAACACCATCCCCACCGTCAAACATGGAGGTGGAAACATTATGCTTTGGGGGTGTTTTTCCCCACGAAACTGGGGCAGCAATCAGGACGTTGGGGACAATGGGGTCGTCCCTCTCCACCAGGTCCACAGGGTCGAACTGCCGGGAGAGCGCGTCAGGCTTGGTGTTCTTCGACCCTGGACGGTATGAGATGGTGAACCGGATCCTGGTGAAGAACAACGCCCACCTGGCCTGGGGCGAGTTGATCCTCTTGGCCCCCTGAATGTTATTGTGGTCAGTCCATACGACGAATGGATGGGCGGCCCCCTCTAGCCAATGCCTCCACTCCCCCAGGGCGAGCTTGACCGGTAGCAGCTCACTGTTCCCCATGTCGTAATTCCGCTCCTCCGGGGACAGCCGACGGGAAAAAAACGTGCAGGGGTGAGTCTTACCATCCGTGAGGAACTGCTGGGACAGGATTGCTCCCACCGCAATGTCTGAAGCATCCACCTCCACAATGAACGGCAGGGATGGATCAGGATGCCCGAGGACCGTGGCTGATGTAAAGCGCCGCTTAAGCGCATCAAATGCATTCCCCGCTTCCGGGGTCCAGGTGAAGGAGCGTACGCTCGTCTGGGTGAGGGCTGTCAGGGGAGCGGCTAGGGAGCTAAAATTGCGATTAAATCGCCTATAAAAATTTGAGAACCCTAAAAACCATTGTAGTTGCTTGAGGGATGAGGGCTGGGGCCAATCCAGTACCGCGCTGACCTTGGCTGGGTCCATCCGTAGGTCCCCCTGGGTGACGATGAACCCCAGAAAGGAGACTGTCTCTGTGTGGAACACACACTTCTCCGTCTTGATGTAGAGCTGGTGGCGGAGAAGGCATTGGAGGACCTGCCGAACGTGCTGCTGGTGTTCACTCATGTCCTTTGAAAATATTAGGATGTCATCCAAATACACAAAGACGCTGTAGTCGAGGAGGTCCCGGAGCATGTCATTGACCAATGCCTGGAACACCGCAGGCGCGTTGGCTAGGCTGAACGGCATGACTTGGTACTCGTAATGCCCACTGGGTGTGTTAAAAGCCGTCATCCACTTGTCCCCCTCCCGAATCCTCACCAGGTTGTAGGCATTACGTAAGTCCAGCTTGGTGAAGACCCGGGCTCCCTGCAACGACTCAAATGCCGTCGTCATCAGGGGGAGTGGGTAGCGGTTCTTAACCGTGATGTCGTTGAGGGCCCGGTAATCAATGCATGACCGCTGCCCACCATCCTTTTTCCCACGAAGAAGAAGCCCGTGCCCATAGGTGAGATAGAGGGACAGCTATGACCCTCGACAAGTGCCTCGACGAGTGCCTGTTCGATATTCTCCCCCGGCCAGGACAAGGAAAACAATTGCCCTCGTGTGGGCATGGTGCCCGGCAAGAGATCAATAGCGCAGTCGTAAGGCCTGTGAGGAGGTAGGCCCTTGGCACGCCTCTTACTAAACACCTCCCCCAGATCCCAATACTCCTGGGGAACGCCTGCCAGATCTGGGCTGGTGACGGAGTCTGTAGCCGCCGTCCTCCCGGTGGCAACCGCCGCTAGGGCGGTAGGCGGTTCGGAGTGCGGGACCTGGGGTAGAGGTGAGGACTGGTAGGTGGTCTGGGACGTTGGTTTGGGCTGATGTGGTCGGTGGAGACCGGATCAGGATGGGGGCGGAGCCTCCCTCCAGGATGAGCCGCCCCGTGGACCTGTCTATCCGCGGTTTGTGGGCGACCAGTAAGGGGTGTCTGAGGACGATGGGACACTCCGGAGAGTCCACAATGAAAAACTGGATATCCTCCCATAGCCCCCCCCGCCACCCGGGGACGTACGGGGACGCGCAGTGCGGGCCCACTGAACCCTGACGGGGAGAAAAATCCAGGAGTCTCTGGAGTTGGGGTTTCGGTTCCGGCTCGCTAGCACCCCTCAAGATACTAGCGAGCCCTCCCGTTTCCCGGCTTATCTGGGCATGAGTCGCATTGGTGACATGCCTGGCCGCAGTACAGGCAACGTCCCTGGAGAAGACGCCTCTGCCTCTCCATCCTGGACAAGCGCGCCGCCCCCAGCTGCATAGCCTCCTCCTGAGGAGTCTCCTCCCTGAAACGGTGGAAAGCCTCCGGGTTGATAGGGGAACACGGAGGCGCGCCTTGCGTCATCCCTCTCTCATGCGCCCTCTCATGACGCTGATTGTCTACCCGCACCGAGAGTTCAACGAGGCCGTCCAGTCGCTCAGGCAGCTCCCTGAAGGAGAGTTTGTCCTTCATCCCCTCCGATAGCCCCTGGGCATAAAGGATGACCAGGGCGGCCTCCTCCCATCCTGCCTCTTGAACCCGGGTCCGGAACTCCACGGAGTAGTCCGCCCCCGAACGGTCACCCTGCGCGTTAGCCCAGGAAATGGCCCGACCCGTCAACAGAGTGATGATGTAGGCCACCAGGGAACACTGGCTGAGGAATTCCCTGCTGCCCTCTGGACGTCCGTCATACTTCTCCAGAGGTGGTAGGCGGGGTTCTCGCGATTTCGCAGGCAAGACTGGGGACGCCGCTGCCGTGGCTTCCGCTCCGCCGGCTGCCGGGGCTGGTCGGCTGCACGGCGATCTTCAGCTGGCTGAGATTCTCGGTGATCTGCTGCAGGCTGCGGTCGTGTTGGTTCAGCATAGCTCCCTGTGTTGCCAATGTGCTCCGATACTGTGCTGCCTCCGCTGGGTCCATATTGGCTCAGTTTTCTGTAAGGTTTGGGGTGAGGTGTGACCCAGGTGTGGTGCAGGATATACAGTAGGCAGTAGGCAGATATGGTGAAACAAGGATCTTTGCTGGTGGTCCCGAAGCCAAAATACGAAATACTACCTAAGACTGAAACAAATAACGTAACAGGGAGATACACTTCTCAAGTACCTGTACATAGATCTCCGATCAGACACTGAGTAGTACTGCTGGACATAGAGAAACTAGCAGAGAAAACTGAGCAAGGGAACACAGGGAAGTGAGGACATAAATACACAGGTGAACTGATAGACACAGATGACACCAATAGGATGATGATTAGTCCCGACTGTGAGTGAGGAGGTGCCTAAGGTTGTCAGAGGATGACACCTAGTGGGTCGCTCCGGAACTGCGACCCCCTCCTATAACACGTTACTATGGCAATTTAAAATGGCGCTGACCATAGCTGAAATAAACCTTATATACGATCAAAATACTAAATATAGAGATATTTTTATGTTAAATGCACATGTTTAGTATTAGTGGATTGAATACATCCCTTTGCTTAGATTTACTTCCTAAAGTGTTTACATTCCCCTTTAAATGTAAAGTCCCCATATTTGGGGACCCTATTTGATATTTTTTATTCAATTCAGTCTGGTACGAGAACGGTAGCCCCTATCTGCACAAGCAGGGTGTCTGCGGAAAGCTGAGTATCTTTGCTATTGATCGTTGCCTTCAAAGCTTTGGTGTGTCTTACTACCATATATGGGCATACGAATTTATAAGGGCATGCCGAGCCGATGACCTCATTTCAAGATGGCTTCTACCTACATTCCGGTTAGTGTTGTGAAGCATAAACAAAATAAACACAGAATATGCTGATGCACACCGAAAGCCGGGACTCCACAGATCATGAGGATATCTTATTTGTCTGCCTGTGACCTACCGTTATTGATCACCAGCCCGAGAGTCAAAATGTTTATTTTACAGAACGTTTTCACCAAACAGCAAACATCTTACAAGGTAAGCTTCGATTTGGTCTGTGTTTGAGCTATAGCTACATTAGGGGTATCAAATTAATCATTAGGTTGGTAGGAACAAATCTAGCCTATTTCCAATGTTATCTGATGATGTATGACTTAGTGGCAACATCGCATCAGAAATATGATGTTGCCTGCTTACGCGCTGTAGGCATCCATTACACAGGGGAATGGCTACTATGGCACCTTGACAGTCTTGTAGCCAATGAGATAAGCTTTCCAGGAATATGCAGTTGATCTGGGTGGGACAATGCGTAATGCGAACTATTGCTACCTGGCTCAGACACTTGGAAATGTCCCGTGACCACACCTGACACCACTTACTAAAACATCTGCCCATTTCTAGTTGTTAGGTCTATCAATCCCTTTTTTTCTGATATTGTTCACATGTTGTGGAAGCCATCTGATGTGTTTACAGCTCTTGTAGTCAATAATTCACTTATAGCTGTCAATGAAAGATGACTTTCAAAATAAAAAAACTAACAAAATCTTATTTTGTGTGTGCTTGATCTTGTGTATTCTGAACTATGTTACTCATATCTATCTTCTGATCATTTCCTCATAATCTCCCAGATGTCTTCTTTCCAAATATACCAAGTTTTGGTATACATGTACATTTAAGAGCTAGGAGTAGGGTAAGACTCTTAAAATTAAATTGTACGTACCATAGAGAAATTAGCTAATTATCAAGGTCAATGTTCTTATTTTAAAAGTAATTCAATTACTTTTACTCTGAGTACTTTTTAAATTAGCTACTTTTTACTTGAGTCGTTTTTTTTACACCAGTAGTTTCAATAAAGTAAAAGTACCACTACTTGAGTAGGATATTTCAGTACCCTTTACACCCCTGGGTAAGAGCAAGGATTATGGTAAGAGAGAGGAGTTGGATATGGGCTAGGTGTAGGCTAGGGGTTAGGTCAGGGGCAGACTGGGACAAGAATTCGTCCCTGGCATTTTATCCACACCAGCCCACACCGCTGCGCGCGCCGCCAACTCACTATTCCACCTATCACTCACCCGGCTGGCCACCAACCATACACAATCACCCCATCCCCACACGTACAGTGCCTTCAGAAAGTATTCAGACCTCTTGACTTCTTCCATATTTTGTTGTGTTACAGCCTGCATTTAAAATGGATTAAATTGAGATTTTTGGTCACTGGCCTACACACAGTATCCCATAATGTGAAAGTGGAATTATGTTTAACGAAACTTTTACAAATTAATACAAAATTTAAAGCTGAAATGTTTTGAGTCTGTAAGTATTCAACCCCTTTGTTATGGCAAGCCTAAATACATTCAGGAATAAAAATGTGCTTAACAAGTCACATAATAAGTTGCATAGACTCACTCTGTGTGCAATAATAGTGTTTAACATGATTTTTGAATGACTACCTCATCTCTGTACCCCACACATACAGATCATTTTAAGGTCCCTCAGTCGAGCAGTGAATTTCAAACACAGATTCAACCAGGGAGGCTTTCCAATCCCTCGCAAAAAAGGGCACCTATTGGTAGATGGGTAAAAAAAAAGAAAAAAAGACCAAATATATCCCTCTGAGCATGGTGAAGTTATTAATTACACTTTGGATGGTGTATCAATACACCCAGTCACTACAAAGATACAGGCATCCTTCTTACCTCAGTTGCCGGAGAGGAAGGAAACCGCTCAGGGATTTCACCATGAGGCCAATGGTGACTTTAAAACATATAGAGTTTAATGGCTGTGATAGGAGAAAACTGAGGATGGATCAACAACATTGTAGTTACTCCAAAATACTAACCTAATTGACAGTGAAATGAAGGAAGCCTGTACAGAATACAAATATTCCAAAACATGCATCCTGTTTGCAACAAGGCACTAAAGTAATACTGCAAAACAATTCGCAAAGCAATTCACTTTCTGTCCTGAATACAAAGTGTTATGTTTGGTGCAAATCCAATACAACACATTACTGAGTACCACTCTCCATATTTTCAAGCATAGTGGTGGCTGCATCATGTTATGGGTATGCTTGTAATCGTTAAGGACTGGGGAGTTTCAGGATAAAAAATTAATGGAATGGAGCTATGCACAGGCAAAATCCTAGAGGAAAACCTGGTTCAGTCTGCTTTCCACCAAACACTGGGAGATTAATTCACCTTTCAGCAGGAAAATGTGGAATAGGTCAAGGGTTATGAATACTTTCTGTAGGCACTGTACACCCTGCACTCTGACCCTACACACCCTACTTAGACACAGACAGTAGTGCTGACAATGGCAATACAGTTTCTCAACCATTTCTGTACTTGTGACTGGCGAGACATGGTCCTCCCTCCTCTTTTTTAACCAGCTCATGTTTAAAACAAATACAATTTGTTAAAACAGCACTGGAGATATCTCTCACCACTATAACTGTGCCTCTGCTCTAGCTTTTTTGTTTGCCTCCCTGTTGTGCTGTCTATCTGTCTCAATGTCTTCTCTGCTGTCACTGTGCTTCCTTTGTTTTCTGCCTGTCTGCTTAAGCCTTATATGTTATAAAAGTCAAGCTAACGGCTTAGGCTATATTGCTAATGAGTGCTTGGCATACGTGTTCCCGTTGAATCAACACCTACCCTAAGTGTTGATTACTATTACAGGGCTCCAGACTAACATTTTCCCCTGGTGTCACTGCTGCCACCAACTTTTACAGTCATTCATTGTGCTTTATTAAGAAGTGAATAATAAGTTGTTTAATCTAACACGTCCAAGCAGGAATGCATGACTCAAGATATTTTGTGCAACCTAATCCAGTAATTGTCAGGAATTTTGGGTTGCCAATTAGACTATAGTTGCTATATTTTACTGTCAAAATAGGACTCCAGAATTTCCTGATTTTTGTTTTGTTCATTAGAGATGAATTACAAACATCTTTATCTGCACTAACTATCATAGGCTAACTCTAAATATAATGCCCACTGCAAATAGCCATGTATTCATCCAACAGTAAATTGAATGTCCTAAAAAAAACTTGCAGTTGTAGGCTACTACCAATGAGAACTATAGGCCTATGCCACGTGTCAAACTCATTCCACGGAGGGTCGAGTGTCTGCAGGTTTTCACTCCTCCCTTGTACTTGATTGATGAATTAAGGTCACTGATTAGTAAGGAACTCCTCTAACCTGGTTGTCTAGGTCTTAATTGAAAGGAAAACCCCAAAACCAGCAGACACTATGCGCTCCATGGAATGAGTTTGAGACCCCTGGCCTATGCCCTCACAATGGCCTGTGCACATTTCGTGTGAGCGCCGCTCCATGTCTCAAAGCCATATCAAATATCTTGGTTGTAAAATAGTTACTATTGAGCTAAATATTAACAGTTGAGAAATAAAAATATACCTACAGAAAGCTGAGGCCCTAATCTCTTTGACTGGGACAAGGGGACGAAGCTTCCAAAGCTGTGTTTTTCCTGCAATAACATTTTGAAATGTTATACGATCAAAATAAAATGTTCTTGCCAGCGCGTAGGGGGATAGGAGAGTGGCTCGCGCATACAGCAGCAGGCCCCAGCAAAACAG